GCTGGTTCCCAGCGCCGGCCCCCCCTGCCAGCTGGGGTGACTTTGCAACTGCACGCCCGGCCGGGCGTCCTGGAGGCGCCGGGTTGTTAACGAGCAAAACAAACACCCGCCCCGGCCCCCGACCCAGACCCGCACGTCGGGGCGGCGGCCGCGGCTGCTGTCCCCGGAGCCCTCCCGGTTCGGGGGGGGGGGGGAGGGGGAAGGGGAAGAGGAGAGCCCGGCCGGGGGGCGGCCCCGACGTGTCCCCGGAGAGCCAAGGGTTAACGTGGGCTCGCTTTTCCCGAGCAGCCCTCCTTTCACATTGCATCAAAGTCCTTTAAAGCTGTTTCTCTTCCCTCCTCCCCTCCCCGGCTGGGAAGACGCTTTATCCATGCATGCTAAGTAAACAGATCTTTGTTTTTGTCTTCCACCCACTGCCCTCTTTCTCCAGCCCGGAGCTGGAGCCTCGCCAAGCCGGCTGCAGCGATTGCTGCCTCCACACACTCACACACACACACGGGGGGGGAGAAGCCGGGTTTCTCGGGTGAGGCAATGCGCCTGCAATTGGCAGGGACAAGGCAGGAATTGTAATTGCACTTCATCATGTGATGGCTTATGAAAGAGGAAGTTTGGATGTTTTAGTCACGTACTCCTTTGCCCTCTTGCTTTAGCCTCCAGGTTCTCCGAAGGAAAAAATTACATATATTTATATATACTGGTGGAAAGCCAAGAAACAGTGTGTTTGCACATTTCAGATCGTGAACAGAGCTGGAGTGCTAGCTGAGTGAGGCTGCAGGGGAAGAAGAAAGCAAAGCTTTCAGCTGTGGCAAGCTTTTAACTGCAGGACAGAAAATGTGATCTGTATTTATTTTCCTTTATTTCTAATGAAAACTAGCTGCTTGGAAAAGTCGAGTGGTATTCAGTTCTTGCCGCATTTGCCGCCTTTGAATTCATTCTGGTGGAAAAGGCAAAAAAAACCCACGTTACCAAGCTCAACGTCAAAAAGCTGATAAAAAAATAGTGGCAGTGCTACATAGGAAATGTGGTTTATGTATCAAATCACAAAAAAAAAGTCCTCAAAGCTGCTGACTGTTACAGCAGTAACTGCACAGGAATCGAATAGATAATGCGTTTGTTTCTTGTTCCTTTTTCTTTTTTGGAAACAGAAACCATCCTTTCGTGCCCGATCTCTGTGAAACGCCCCTCGCTATGACATGCCAACGCTATAGATAGGAGCAGCGAGTGCTGGAGGACATCTGATGGGGCATGGGGGCCACGCAGGGCCAGGGCAGTGCCTGGCCGAGGAGCACCGTGGTGGCACGGATGGGACCCCAACGCGGTGCGGGAGGCCTTCGCCTTGTCCCGGTTGCGCCCAGTGCCATGGTTGAGGGAAGGAAGGGAGAGGAGAGGTCAGAGCGGGGCAGCTCTTCAAGATGAACACTGTCTGCCACCCCCACATCAACGCCATGGCGAGCCCCTTCCGAGCCCATGCTTTTTGGCATTTTTCTGAGGTCTTGCCGTCTTTCTCTGCTCCTCCGTCCCTGCAGGGACCCGCTTTCCTTCCCACCTTTCCTCCGTGCGGGTAGCAGCGATCGCATGCAGCCCCTTGCCCAAGAACTGTGCCCCCAGCCTGCACTTCGCCCACGTACCCATCCTCCGTGGGACCTGCCTTTCCTTCTGTGTCCCAACCAGTGCTCCCCACCTGCTCCCCTGCGCCCTTGGCATTCCCCTTTCCCTCCCAGTCAAGGGCTGCCCCACGTCCTTCCCCTGCTGCAGATCTGTGCCGCTTCCTCCGTGGGTCTTATTTCTATCCTTCTGTTGGGGCAGAAGTCCTGCAGGGTGGTAGCAAAATGGCCAGAGCCAAGGTGGGAAGGGTGATTATGCTGGAGGGTGCTACCAGCTCTCCTTCATTGATCTGTAAGGAATTATGGAGGCTACTCTCCCAGAACTGAGAGGGGAGAGGCAGGGAATAGTCCCTGAAGTTTTGGATTTGGTCAGATACAGGTGATTTGGGGCCAAGGAGCCCACCGAAGCAGTGCCATCGTGGCTGAAAGCAAGACGTGCCAGCTCAACCTGCAGGAACCTGACAGCAGATTAGAGCCTCTGCCAGCACATGGCCGGGAGTGCGGTCGTTGCGTATTTGTTATAATGTTTGTAGAGCCTGTGCTGAGAGGAGAGTTCAGGTGGGAACAGAGGAGCTTTGCCTCCACTCCGAGGCGCCTCCTGATTTTACAGCATCTCTGCTGTTTTTATTCCTACTGGAGATGGCAGGTTGCTCCAGAGGATTTTCCAGAAGGCTGAATGAATGCGGGTTTCAGTGGACTTCTCGCCTAGGTGAGGATAATGTGATTTTTGCCAACAGTTCAGAAGCCCCTAATGCAACTGCCAGATCTTGCTTGTAGGCAGCTGCTCATGTTTGCCTGTAAGAGTGAGCTCCTGGTCGCCATTTTAGGAACACCAAAACTTTTGATTTTCATTTAAAACGGTCCATCATTTTGAAGATGAAGCCGCACCACCACCCTTTTATGCATGGCTTTTGAGATGTGTTTCAAACAGCAGTTCAGGTGATGTTCTGCTTTCACGTTGATGCTGGTTCCAACACCAGCCTCATGGCACGCTGAAAAGAGAAGAATCTTAGAGAAAAAGAAAAATTCCTATCCAACAGTGTTTTATTTAGTGCCACAGGAAAAAAAAAAGATACTGATGCAAACAAGAGTATCATCAGGCGCAGCCTGTTGACATAAATAGGCTTTGGACAGGCTCATGGTAAGCCACCGATCCTGCAGGTGTTTACAACCACTTACAACTTTATTCACACGAGCATCACTATGAATGTAAAGCCATGTGCGCTTACGTGCTCGTGGGACGAGAGCACGCTTCCCTGGGAGCCGCTCATCGGCGGCGTGCTGACGGCTGCCCTGCCCTGCAAGCTGGAGTTGCCTGCTGATGGCAGGAGCTGACAGAAGCACTGGCAGAAAAAAGACTCCACCGAGGCCGGAGGGAGGTTGCCGCATTAGCTCCCTGCGAGGCAGGACGTGACAGAGGATTGAGAGGGACTCGAGCAGCTACTCAGTGTCTGCCTTTTGCCATACACGGGGGCCTTTTATTAACTCCTTGAAGACAGCTGAGTTGTGGCGTTAACTTCTGAAGAGCTGCGAGCCACCCAAGCAGAGCCTGCCTAGAAAAGGAAGCTGCAGGAGGACACTGGTGTGCCATTAGTTCAGGGATATCTCCCGAAATATGGAGATGCTGTGTATGCTGCTATTCTGCTATGATTTTTTTTGCTCTACAAAGTTTGGGCAGGGCTAGTTACCAGGGAGTCGCAGTGTGAGCAAGAGCCTGGGTGCTACAGCTTCTGCTCCATTGGTGGGCTCTACCCTAGGCGGTTTGGAGCAAAAATTGCATGCTTTCCTTAAAAAAGGAAGCAATTCTGGTTTTAACTGAGCGGTTGACTTTACGCCCTCTTTTCAAGTAGCAGTAGGAAAAAAGCAGCGAGGAAAAGATCATGGAAATACTTGAGAAATTCAGAGGTTACTACCCTCCGAAGAGAAAAACTTCAGAGAGATACTTCCAGATGCCAGAAGAAAGGGCAATTGATGTGGAAAAGCTTCCGCCCCTTATCCCCAGGCTGGGTAAATAGGCATGTCGGGTTATCCCATTTACACCCTGCCTTGGTGCTCTGCATTGCGAGCCACAGTCGGCAATTGTCTGCAGGCGAGGGGGGCAGGAATGCGGTGGCCGGGGGCTTCCCGGGGCGTAGGCAGAGCGGCCGGCCGGGTGACCCCTTCCCAAAATAAACAGGAAGCCTGGGAAACCGTGACCCCTCCGCGACACCGCGCCGGCTCTGCTCCCGGCCTTCTGTGCGGGAGTCGACAGCCTTCCAAGTACCCTCTGAAAATTGGACAGGGGCGAGCACTTCACAGGAAATGTTACAAAATAAGAGCAGAAACAGATCGTCTGTTGAAAAAATTACAGAGGGCTTTAAAACTCCTTCTATTTAAGCCCCCAGAGAGTCGTATTCCTTGTCTGCGCTTCATCCCCCCAAGCCCACATCCATGCAGCGTGCAAAGCACTGAGTAGCTGCAAAGAAGGGCCAGAGCTTCCCTTTCTGCATGCGTCGAAGGGCTGGTGTGCCCGAGGGAAGCAAGAAGAGGAGCCCCAGGGAGGGTGCGCCAAAGGGTTTCTCAGTTGGGCTGGGGAGTTTGGGCTGGA